GGTTAATTAGTCATAGAACATTGATGCTTGATCAATAATCAACATGCACACTGTGCTCCCATCAAGTTCACATTACTTGCACTGATTGGTTAATTAGGATTCATAGAAGATTGATCAATAATCAACATGCACACTGTTGTGCCATCAGGTTTGCTAACAGTTGATGACATGTTCAAATTTTGCAATTTTATTCATTTTTCATAAAAATGGCCGCAATTTCACTAAATTTCATTGAAATCCCAAAATAATTAAAAACAACATTTAACCTATTATATCTTGCCTTTGTACCAAATTTACACCCAATCTGTAAAATCATCTCTGTAAAATTGGGCAGAACACTCTTAAAAAAACAAAATGGCCACCAGTCAGCTATTTTGAATCAGATCACAAAAAACAGTGATGTGCATCAGTAATCCACCATGACTGATGTCAATGCCAAGTTTGAATGTAATTGGTCAAGGCTTGTCTAAATAACATTTAATGACACGTTTGAATTTTGTGATTTTATTTGTTTTTGATGAAAACATTCAGCTAAATTTTGCTGAAAACGAAAAATAACTGAAAACAACATTTAACCCATTATTTCTTGCCTTTTTACAATATTTAACCATAATCTGCACAACAGTCTCTGTTAAATGAGCAGAATGGCGGACTGGTGGCCATTTTGAATCGAATCACGAAAAAAAAAAATGTGCATCAGTTGATGACAAATGTTGATTTTGGCGTTTTTTGGGACAAAAATGGCCACCAGTCAGTCAAAGGTCAACCAAATCAAAAATAAATCAATGTGCACATGTCTCCCATTATGACTTGTCTTTGTACCAGCTTTGAAGAAAATCTGTCCAGGCGTCTCTGAGATATGATGACGAACGCATAGACAGACGGGCGAATGAACACACGAACATAACCCAAAACACAAGTCCTCGTTTTAAACTCCGTCCGACTGGGACTAAAAACATTGTGTGGTTCGCACAAGGGGGAGACAAAAATCACCACCAGGAATAAAACTACGAACGTGCAATGAACCCTTAGACAACACAGTAAAAGGTTTCATTTCTGTTTTCCATTCAATTCAGCGATGCATTCACATAATAGAGGTCAGGCCCTGCGTTACAAGTCATGCATATATAATGATTAGAAACACATGACTGGGTGGGATTTCCCAGGCTTTCAATTCTTAACAAAACTGTACAATGCTTACAGATATAGCAACAATTGAAATCTATCTCCTGTGAGCGAGTGAGATATGTTTTTCAGTTTCGATATGATGAAATTGCCTTTATTAGACAATTAAACTACATCTCACAGATTTCATTTGACAGCTTAATTCCATAAATAAATAATTTCAGTAACTTGTCAGTTCTTAGTAAATTTATCTTTATAATCAGTCTTTGCAATACACAGATCAATAAGGCACAATTTATTAACACTAACAGCAACACCTCATAGTAGGAGTATAATTATACATATATTGTACATTTTTGTATGTTTAATTCCCAGTGAATCTTGTAATTTGTAAATGTAAATTTGTAATTTGTGTCCACTTTTTATCTTTCACTGTTAATAATTTTTGTTTTTATTGTCTTGTAGTTTCAATGGTCTTACTGCTGTACTTTCCAAAGTCAGTGTTGTGTCAATAAATAAATAAAATAAATATCATGCAACATTTTTGGAAATTGTTTATTGTAAAACAATCATTCATACCAATTCATACACTAGTAGACTCTTGGCTGAGATAGCCCCACTGTTAGCAATGCACATTTCAATTAATAAACTGAAGATATCATTAGAAAATCAACAAATCTGATAGAGGTCCATCTGTAGTACCTATACAGTGTTTGAAATTACTGCCCGACCATACGCCCGGCACAGGTAATTATTCAGTAGGACTGGTGAAAATCTTAAGTTACTAGCTCTGTGGTCGGGTAGATTTTTTGAGAAAATAAAAAAATATTACTTTTTACAAAAATTACAAAATGTCTGAGGATGCATGATTGTTTTCAAAATTATGTACCTAGAGATCTGATCTGACCATTTTGACATGTAAAATAGGTATAAACAACAACAATCCATGAACGATGCATGATTTAGCGAATTCTCACACTATGTGTGGGCTGGTGAATTTTTAGCAGGACAGGCAAGTTTTTCAAAGTCGAAAATATCAAAATTAAAGACATCTTGAAAGGTACATATATACTAAGTATCAACAGTGGAACTAAATATATATGACCATTCTAATACCTTATTTTATTTATGACCTGTGATTTTGAGTTTAGAAAAAAGCATCCATTATAGTTAATGCAACTGTTGACTGGATGCGCTGAGAAAATTCTATATTACTGAGTTACAGAATTGTAGACATCAGTGGATATGGTTGCACTGTACAGCATCTCAAATTACACAGTTGAATAACTTTACAAGGGAAGACATTGTGCTTAAAAATCCCCCAAATCTCATCAGACAGCATTAGTGGTCTGATTATTACATTGTCATGCAAATAATCACTATTCTGGGATTCACCATTTGAACGTCTATGAGGGATAAAGATAAGATAACTTTATTGACATTATTCTTTCTATAGAAGATGAACATAGTCAAGTAAAATAAAAAAAAAAGTAAAGAGGATAATCAAAAAATTAAAATAACAGATTAATTAAAAGGCAATTACAAGGTAGTACAGAATCAGGTGTTTTATTAATACATACACACCTGTTTGCATTATAAACACACCAAGCTTAATGTGGCAGTTTGTCATAATGTAAATAAATTTATCGGGATGATCCATTGAAGTAAAATTAGGATTATCCTTATGTAAGTCTGTAAAAAGTATCTGCCTCATTTTATTGTGCTGTGGGCAGTCCATAATGCAATGGTACTCATCCTCAACTGAGTTATTGTCACATCTTGTGCAGATTCTGTGTTCCAGTTTTGTTTTTGGTCTAGTATACCCCCCTTTCTCAATCATAAGCTGATGGTCACTAATTTTTAATTTACAAATACATTTTCTATATTTTGAATTATTCACATCTATCAAATACTTTTCCATTTTGAAGTGTGTTTTAAACTTCCTGTGGGTGCTAAGTTTGTTGTTCCTGAATCAGATTTTTCTAAATTAATGTCACTTTTCCACTTTTTTGAATAATCATCTTCTATTTTTTATAAAACTTCCTTCACACTTTTACCATCCCCCTTCCAGTAATCATGTATATTATCAACACCAGTTATTTGACTGATTGTTGTTGCCTACTTTGATTTGTTGTCGATATTGTAAGACATTGCCTCGTGAATTAAAGTGTTTTCTTCCACGGTGCATGTTAAATGTCTGTGTATTATAATGTGATATTTGGTTTGTATTCATATCTCAGTAAGTGACATGCTGTTCCCATTTTAAACACCATTTTAATGACCATGATGTCACACAGTTTGTTGTGTTAATAATTTATTGTCCCACAAACAATACCTGTTCATTCATCACCCTGATACTTATCCACTGAAGTCCAGGGGTGACATCTGGGGCACTTAACAAGACCCACCTTCAGATATTTGTTTGTGTAATGTTAAATGTGCCTAACTCTATATAACATGTACCTCTGATTGTTGGCTGTATCAGTTTATACTCTGATAAGATATTTATACTATGTCTCAAACTGAATCAAACAATCATCTATCAAGCAGCGATGTGATCAATCAAAATTTGGAGGACTATGTTTCATTGAATATAACAATTACCAAACAAGATAGATCTGATGACATATTCTGACAACTGAAACCTTCAAATAGTTTACTGTTGTCATGTGATTACTGTTGTCATGTGATACTGTTGTCATGTGATTACTGTTGTCATGTGATACTGTTGTCATGTGATACTATTGTCATGTGATACTGTTGTCATGTGATACTATTGTCATGTGATACTGTTGTCATGTGATACTATTGTCATGTGATACTGTTGTCATGTGATTACTGTTGTCATGTGATACTGTTGTCATGTGATTACTGTTGTTATGTGATTACTGTTATGTGATTACTGTTGTCATGTGATACTGTTGTCATGTAACTTGTTGTTATTAAACTTATCGATTGTTATCATGGAAGATTGTTGATTGTCATGTGACTGTTTTAAAAAAAAAATTATCCATGGAGTGTGAGGGCGCTGTCATAGCACATTCAAACACCACTTACCGTACTGTAAATGCAATAATTATTCACTGGCTTTTAATTATGTTATTTTCGCAAAATCCTCTAAAATAAATCCATGAACAGTTTCCCTGCCAAATAAATGGTTTTACAGTATACAAATACAACATGGATTTCTAAGTTTAAATACTAGGGTAGTAGTGCAGGTGATCATCAAATCATGTTACTGTTCGACTCATGTTTATGGTCTCTCATTTTAACTTCTTTTTTCTGGCTAACAATAACACTCTTTGTGGTAAGTTTGTATTTATATCATTAGATATGCATCCAAAATTGGTGATGTGAAAAAAGGGTTTTGAAAATTTCCAGCAACTGACCTGTTTTTCCCCCAGAAAGACTCATTTCTTAGTTTTGTCCTTCTTAGCCTTGCAACTTTGAAATAAAAAATTGGATTTACGCACTGAATGGTTAAAACAATGGGTGTTTAGTTTGCGTACCGTGCAAGTGTTTGATGCTGCATGAGCAGTTCATTTTTAGGTTATTCTTTTATTTATTTTTTCAAAACACGCATTTTCGATAGTCTAACGTGAATAACTCGTGACCAAATAATTTTTTTTTTAAAAAGCACAGACACATTCCTTTGCGTGAGGTTCATTTGAACAAGATGTTTAAATTTCAATTGAATCGGCTCACCCACTCTTTATCTACTGTGGTTCAAAGTTAGTTTAACTAATTAGATCTTGGCATTGTCTTAAGAGTATATATGTACCAAGATTCATTGAGAAAAGATGAGATATATACAGAATATAGATGATGAGATATAGATAATTAGGTAATTAATATGCAAATATTTTTAACCTAAAACCGATTATGTCTATGTCTAAGTCTATGCATTGTCCTATGACATCTATGTACTAAGTTTCATTGAAATGTGATGATTAGTCCTGGAGTTATCAGTGGAAAAGCCCATAATTGACTAATTGTTATGCAAAGTACGTAATTAATATGCATAGACTTTTACCAAAAACAAATCACATCTGTGCATTAGTCCACATCATCTATGTACCAAGTTCCAATGAGTGGTTCTATTGATATTAGTGGAACAGTCATGGAACAGCTAAAAATTAGCTAATTATCATGCAAATTAGGTAATTAATATGGGTGGATTGTTAAGCAAAACCTAATCAAATCTGCCCATTATCCCAAAGCATATATGCATTTTATCAAAAACTAACATATGATTCTTGAGTTATCAGTGGAACAGACGTACACACACACATACAGATGCACTGACTGCAAAAATGAATACCATATTTCCTCTATTAGAAGCACATGCACTTATGTAATTGGCAAATGTGGACATTTCTTTCCACTGTTCAATTTATAAACTTAGTGCAAAATATAACCAAACAGCTCTTTTCACCACATCCTTTTAAAGAGAATATCGTTACTGTAATGCTTTTCTGTAAATAATTTGTTTTGACCATGTTTTAGATGTGTATATTACGCGTATATATGTTAACAAGTTTGTTTTAATGTAATCCATTGACACTGTAAACGTGCTTTAGATAACACTTCCAACTTCAGGGGAACGCGCCACAAATAGAATACAGATAAACAATATTTTCAGGTTAAATGTGCTTCTATTAGAGATGTGCTTCTAATGGAGGAAATACGGTATACATGTATTGCAGTTAATAATGTGTACAAAAGTAATTTTTTTTATAGGTTGGCCTAATATTACCTCCTACTCATGCATATATGATACATCATTACCTCATCTTCTATTGAAGCAAGTAATGACAATTGAGCTGATCATTAAGTGTCTTGAAAAAATGTTGAGTCATCATCAATAGTAAATGCACTTACCATCAGTGTCTACTTTCCTAATCTTGTATTTCCATAAAAGTTGGATATCAAGTCCAAATTTGTATCGTATAAGTAGTCCGAGTGGCAAGATAAATATAATGATGACACCAATTATAATCAATATATATAAATATGGGCTTTGAGGTTCTGCATTTGGATCTATAATACAATCAAATGTGTGATTCTTGTTAAAAATTTGTACTGGTTACTTGTTGATTGAGATATTCTATGATGTCTCGCAGCACATGGATGATTAGAAATAATAGCATCTTTTTCATGTATCATATTTCAAGGTCAGACTCCAAAAAAACATGCTCAGTGGATTTTTCCAGTTTAAACCAAAATGTGTTGAAAACATTTTTATTTCAAATTCAACAAAGTGAATATTTTTTCCCTCCACAGAATAACAGTAGTGAGAGGATTTTTTTAATGCAAGTAGTCAGGATTATTTTCAAATACATAAAATGCATTCAGAAATTTGATAAGCAAAGCAAGACATTTTTTTCAGTAACTTATATTCCATTGTTTTCAACCAAAAGAGAACACTGCCTCATTGTAACATCATTTCAAGACTTGTTCAAGAAAACAGTAATTGCATATGGGTGAACACGTATGTCCTACCATGGAGTTAAATAGAGTAAAAAAGCACACCAGAAAGTTTACTTGTGGTGTTATAATATGTTCAAACCTTTGTCTGACCAATAAACATTCAGATAAAACATGATAAAACAAAATCAAAGTAATTGGATGAGTGTTGCCCTCATTAAAAGGGGTGTGTACGTACATCGCATGAAAAATGTTATATTTCATACCATTTACCAATTTCAATACGCAATTTAAAACAGCGATCGTAGCATGCGCAGTTCCCCAGGTGACCTTTCAAACACCGGAAATAAATCAGATCGACAGAAGTTTGTTGACAATCGGGTAAGTTACAGTATTTTCTTTATGGTTTTTTAAATCTTTGCTTTAACTTGCTTCGAGAACTACCGAACGCACTGTGTAAACAGATTTAGGGATCACCCGGCTACGCAATTACGTTTTTAAGTGTAATTAAAAGTAAACATCAGTGTTTATTTATTACTTCAAAATAATCATTGGCAAAACAGATAGATCAAAGGAAATTGGTCAGTGGTTCATCCTGTGTTAGTACGTCCATGGTTCAACCAAGTATTGATTTGGAAATGACTATACCCAGTATTGACACAATGCTACTTACCACCATACTTTAATGTTAGAGGTACGTAAACATCGCCATGTCCATTAGCAGCTTTGGCAATATATTTACCATAAGTGTTCTTTTTAACATTAGAAATGATTAAGCCAACACCCTGATAGGCACCTTTATCCCTGCAATAAGGAACAATTTGGATTATTTACTTGCTCCAAAAATACTTGATTTAGGGTTCTTATAATAATATCTTTATTGCAACCTTTCATCACCATATTTCTATCAGTTTAAAGCAATATGAATTGGAATATTTTGTTGAATTAACAAACTGGTTAAGAATTCAAGATGGCAAACATTTTAAAGGCCCAATTCAGTTTACAGAAACCCTTGTAGTTGATTTACAAGCTGATAACACTAATGCTCTGAAGTATTATTGTGTATAGCAGTCAAGTCACCTTATCAGAGCATGGACCTGAGTTACATAACGACAAAACTAAAAATGGAACAAAGTGATGTGGCATTGACCATTTCTTTGAATCGTGTTTATTTCATCAATGGCTTTCGCCTGAAATGCAGATTGGCTGTATCATATTTATTTGCTATCCTTTTATCGTTTAAATACAATGTGATGACCAGGAATATATGCTCATACATCATGCGATAGTATTCACTGAACAGTGTTCCCACATTCAATCTCTGGTCCCAATAAAATCATTATGACATCACCAAATTACTGACTAGCGACCAAAATTTGACTATAGATGAGTAGCAATAGTACTTTTGTGAAATTTCTTTACTATTGTAAAACACAGTTAGAAAGCGACACATCAAAAGGTCAAGTTGAGTTCATCGCTTATGATGTATATTCTGACTTTGCTATGCATTTCTTGTACTTTTATTCATGGAGTTAGGGTATCTCTGACTTTGCTATGCATTTCTTGTACTTTTATTCATGGAGTTAGGGTTACATAATCATGTTGTCATGAGCTGATAAAAGTGGCACTTCACCGCTAACCCACAATCTGATAACTTGTGTGTGTCCCTCTTTATTTTGATACGCGAGTTTTCATGTTTTAAGTTTACATTGTACGACATAATCGACCTGTAACTTTTCAGGATATCAGAGTTCTTACATCATCGTTGTGTTCACCAAAGTGACAAAGGTTCACACACTAACTTTTCACAATTGCTAAGTTCACATTACAGGATCTCGACATGTGTTGAAAATTGTTTCCTGATTGGAGAGTGATTATACAGCAGTTGCGTTCACATCAGTTGAGACCCACTCGGCTTGTTCCGAAATCATGAAAAAACAATACGCATATAATAATGATAATACACAATGTAATTTATTTGTTGTTATGGTATTTATTACGAGTCATTGTGCACATATGCAGCAAAAAATGTGAATAACAATTATTTTCCATGTAGATGTAGCATTGCAAGAAAAAATATAAATTCGCATTTGCTGATGACAGTTTGCATCCATTACTACAGTATCTGACCTTATATAGTATGAATCAGTAGAAATTCACCACGAGGGCGCGATTTTGGTTCATCTCGGCATGTGCCGAGTTTCAGTCTCAAGCATCTATCAATGAGATAAGTTTTTTTCGGCACTTACCGCTTCAGTCACATTTTGGCACATGCCGACTCGGCTGGGTCTCGACATGTGCCAATATCTTTAAAATAAACGCCACTGTTATCAAAATTCTTACATCATCGTTGCGTTCACTAGAGTGACCAAGGTTCACACATTAACTTTTCAACATACTTTATTCTAATACTTACCTTTGTGTAGTATATGTGCTGTAAGTCTGATTATCTAGCTCCTCAATGAAATAAGTACCAGTTTTATTTTCTTTCCGAAACTCAACCAGGTTGTAGTCTCCTTGTCCAACGTAAAACTCACAAAAAAAAGTAACATTTGCACCAGGAAGTGTTTTATAATCTTGACAGCGTGGGGTGAATGACCATATTGGAGGATCTAAAAATTCTGCATCTGTCATAGAAGGACACAAGAATTATGGATTCAGTCAAGGAATGTGGCAGATCTTTCAAGTATGTAACAATCAATACAATATTTAGTCTTTTCAAAAACACAGAATTGAATTCTTGTGCATCTTTCTGTGTTTGCATCTCCACCGGTATCTCGGAGAAGCCTACACTGATACTTTCAAACTTCACAAACATATCATGCATAAATATGTTCAATTAATTCTAAATGGCCAACCAGTGGTAATTTTAATTTCAAAAATATATTAAAAAATAATGCTTCTCTTTTCAAGAAGTGGATCTCGTCCGTACATGAACATATTTTGTCATTTTGCTATTCAGATCAGATTCAAAATGGTCAAGGTGGCAACATCTTTACTCAACCAATAATATTAAAACGTTATATATACACACATGTCATTTGATCGTTTTCGTAAATAAAAATATCAATTCCGGTAAATAAATATTCTTTAAAATATATTAAAATATACTAAATTTAGGATGAATTAGTGCATTTCATTCAAAATAAAATGGTTGATTTGTGTAGACGTTTTTTTAGTAAGCGAAAATCCTCATGGTTAACTCTATGGGAGCATGCTCATTTGCATATCATTTGCATATCATAAAAATTCTGAACATGAAGACCGGCTACTCATCCAGTCTAGTTTAGCGAATCGATTTCACACCACTAGTGATCTGCATGCCAATCTTAATC